ATGTGCCCTGACCGGAGATCAAGCCTGCAACCTTTGGTGTATCAGGAGGATGCTCTCACCAACTGAGCTACCCTGTCAGGGCAGCTATAATTGTTTTCTTTACAAATATATCTGAAAATGGGGAGTGGGTATAGGCAATACTTTTTGCATTGGGAGCTCAGAATCGGGTCAGAAAAATGCAGTGGCTGCTAGGTTGCCGATTTAATTCTGATTGCATATTATTGATGGGGGTGGAAATAAGGCAAGTTAAAAACACCATGAATCTCACTGTTGTTTTTCTTGACTACATGCTACCAAAATCGCTGCAAGACTTCGGTTAATTTCCAGAGCTGAACAAAGTTGATTCCGACAATTTTTGCCTTTTTCCTGGTGCTTTGATGGAGGAGAGACTTTTTAGAGCTCCGTCTTCCACTATTTTTGAGGACATTATTCTTGATTTCCTTTTGAGAAGACTTATGCTTATTCCAACTCCCATTCCTTTGTATGTAACCTGTTCTAGTTGTGAGGTTTTGTTTCACTGAAGCTTTTTTTTCCAGCTCTGTTTTGAAATTTCACTATGATATGAATGGTGTGGGCCTTTCCATTGGGCTGGACTCTTTAGAATTTAGAATTTCTCTTGTTTCCTTGGTACTTTCTTCCCTACTGTTTCACTTTCTGATAGTCATATTTGGAGGATGTTGGGCTTTGTGAAATGATCCTTTCTTTTTTCATATCTTTTTTTCTGCTGTTTTTTAATCTGCTTAACTTTTTGTTCTATTCTGTGAGATTTCCTTGACTTTAAATTCCCAGCCCTTCTACTGACTTTTTAGTTTCACTTTCTTATTATAAATTTCTTTTGTTATTATTCTTTTTTATAGTATTTCATTTTAGTTTTATCTTCTTTTATCATGCCGAGGATATTAATGATAGCTGTTTTATAAAAAATTAATTTGTCCCTGCAGTCTGCACTGTTATCTCTGAATTTCTTTTTTCTATTTATCTCTCTTGGCTGTTCATTTAAAATAGTGAGGCACAAATAAATATGTGGCTGTACCATCTGTTTGCTGAAAAAGGAATGTGAATGTGTCACATTTTTTTCCAGCCCAGATGCTAATGTGTGTCTATTTTTTGGTTAGTTATGTGTCAGCTACTTGTCCTCTAAGGTTTACTTGATTCAAAATAAGTCCCATATGTCTTCTGCTTTGGGGCTTCAGTTATGCTGCAGCATGATCCTACTTGTAGCTTTCTCTGCTTCTGTTCTTGTGCTGCAGCGTCCTGGTCTGCAGGTGTTTTCCATTATTGCGGTTTTCATCACCACATGGATCCAGGTTCACTGGGCTCCTAGGCACTCAGCAGAGACTCGTTCTGTGCTGGTGGATGGACAGACTTTGCTTAGGGAATCTGTCTGTTTGGTGTAAAGAAAATTTCATAATGACCTAGCATTTCCACTTCTAGGTAAGTATGTATGCTGAAGGTTTAAATATAGATTTTCAAGGCAAAAATTACACAGGGATATTCATGCAGCATTATTCACAATAGTAAAAAAAAAAAAAAAAAAAATGGAAATAGCCCAAGTGTCCATCAACTGATAAATGGATCAACAAAATGTGATATATAGCCATCTCATGGAATATTATTTGGCCATAAAAAGTATGAAGCATTGGTACATGCTACAACGTGGTTGCTGCAGCATTGAAAACATTATGCTAAGGGGAAGAAAGCAACCACAAAAGGCCATATAGTGTATGATTCTATTCATATGAAATATCCAGAATAGACAAATATGAAGGGGCTAAAAGTAGACTAATGGTTGCTTAGGAGTGTAATAAAGTATCCGGGGTTTCTTTTTGAGGTAATGAAAATATTTAAAAATCGACTGTGATGGCTGCACATTGAGTTGTATGGTGACTTACCTGGTATGTGAATTGTTTTTCAATGAAGCTGTTACAAAAATGTTCGTAAGGGTCTTGAACAGACTGTTCTAGAAGCCCTACCTATATATTGGGCTCTGCCTCCTCACATCCAAAGTCACGTGACTGCATCTACTCTTGCTATATGTTTATGTGTTAAATGCTTGCTTTAATTTTCTTCAATAGAGATTTCATCCCCATCAGTCATCCTAGACTTTCAGGATCAAGCTCCCCCCCACCCCCCATTCTTTTAGTTTGTTCAAGTTACTGACATTTTTCACCTCTGCTGAAAATCCTGTGGAAGAATTGTGGTTTTTTGTCTTAGAGCTCTAGCTGCTCTTTCAGATTTTGTGCTTGATCTATATTCAGTAAATAATGTGAGTATTAAAGCCACATATCTTTTCAATTAAAATGTAAATGTCTTGCTTCATTCGCTATTGGTGATTTTATAAACTCGACATTGAAAAAGGTGTCGAATAAGAGACTTCAGGAACTCTGGGTGAGAGCTCAGAGCTGGTACATTTCCTGCCTCCAGAGCTGTCATCAAGTTAGCAGTGGGTCATTTCCCTTGAACCTGGAATTCACACAAGCTGGCCCAGGGATCCCAGTGCTGTGGGGGAACAGGATGTTAAGGATGGCAGCTCCTGGTTAGATGACATTGAGAAATGGTGATTTCATGCACTAAAGAGAAAACTTTAAAAATATTTGGAAAACTTCTCTTCCTCAGCCTTCCTGTTGACATCACCCCTACCACGTGTCTCTTTCATAATCCCTTTCCTTTCCTTTGGCATAGGCTTATGTTCCCATGAGTCTAGATTTTTTTCCTTCAAATTATTTTAATCAGATTTTCTGTTTAAATTTCACATCACTCATTGTATTTGTCATCAGAGTACCATTCTTCTTGTCTTAAATATATATAGACCCAAACATCTGTCTCTCTCTCTCCCATTATTGTCTCCCCTTCCTTTTCCCCAGTAACTCAGATTTTCTGGTATAATATCATCTCTTACAACGCTCTTGGAAACTCTTTTGACCACTTTAAAAATCTACTGGTTTTAGTTTATTGTGTTTTTGGCTACAAAGCAAAGGATGTTACCTTTACCGTTTTTGACTATATTCCGATGACTCAGTTTACCCCCTAATCTCTAATAAGAAGATACCTCTCAGAGTCTACCTCTGTCCTTTCTGTCCTTATCTCTGCTTTTCTCATACTCACCTGGGTAGAAATCATTTCCTGTTTGATACCTGCTGTATGCCAGAAGACTGAGGAAAACCAGGGAATGTTTATTGAATTCTACCTTTTTATCTTAATATTTATTCTAATATATTGTTTCCTTAGTTAATATTTATAGAACCCTCGCACTTCTTACCGTGTTACCATGATATGTGCAGGAGAGCATAAAATTAAAGGATGACTCATTAACAAATTGATGTATCTCAGAAAATACCCAGACCTCTTTATTCATCTTACTAAAATTAATCTCTTCACAGGACTTTGAATTCATGGCCAAGAACAATTGCAAGCATAATGCAACAGAGTTCTTAATAAAGTTCTTATATATTTTTATACTGTAATTATCTAATTGTAGATATATCAGAGGCAAGTCTTCAAATGGTATTTCAAAGTGGATTTTTATTTTAAAAATTAAAATAGCTATGTGATTTTTGTGAAAAGAAAAAAAAAAAAATCAGGTCCTCAAATGACATCATTTATTTAACGTTGTTTAGTTATAACATTGATTAAATGTCATAGGAACTTATCTCTTGTTTATATCAATTAGACTGTAGTAAAATTGTTTTCCTTATACATCATTTTACCACAGCTTCAAGAACCGATTGACGACATTAAGCAAGGACTTACTGTATAAACATACTGTAAAAAATTTTAAAGACTATACAAAAACTTAACCAGAAGCCATCTAGCCTATTGACTTTTGAATAAGTAGCATTCAGAACTATGTTTATATCTATGCATACCTATGTTAAAAGCAGATATGTTTGTATATGACAACTATGTTAATATTATAGATTATAGAGTAGAATCAATTTAGATTTTGTAACAAAGGAAAATAGCTGTAGTAGATTAGAATGGAAGGTGTACAATAGCTAGGAAAATATGTCCATGTTAACTGTGAAGGAAAATAAAATGAAGACAGTCTGTAAATAAATGATTAAATCCAGTTTGCCATATGATTTGAGTTGGAAAATGACATAAGCACAATATGAAAACCTATGTACCTTATAAACTCTCCAGGAAGTTGTCTGGGAGTCTATGCTGTGAAGTGGCTGGTAGATGAGATTCTACAACACAGCGAAGTGGTTCTGAAATTTCCTCCCTGAAGATGAAAATTATACTGTTGTTTTCCATAATAGCAGGAATTGTGAAAATTCAGAAACTAAAAATCCAAAAGAAGAAAGTCATTCATAATTCCACAAAAATATATCATTACAGACTTTTTTATAATTTAATTTTTACAAAATTAGAATATTATAAATGCTTCTTCATAACTTTTAGTATTGAATAAGATTTTGTGAACATCTCTCATGCCAGTACATACAGTTCTATATACTATTTAATGGCTAAATAGTGTTCTATTTTAGAATATATATGAGTTTATTCAAATAGTCTTCTGTTTAGGCAGTAATCCAGTTTCATCTGTTCTCCACAGTGCTGTGACAGAGTCTCACACATTATTTGCATTTCTGATTATTTTTTTAGGATAAACATTGTGGGATTGGAGGGTTTATGCATTTTCCATTTGGTTGTCAAACTGCCCACCATAAAGGAATAATAAATTTATTTTTACATCCAAGATAGGCTTAGTTTATGCCACATTCTGTGCTATACAGCTGTGTTAGTATGACTTCAGTAATACACAAAGCCACCACATTGGACTTGTGTTATGATGGAGTTTATTATGTGTAGAATTCTACGTGTTAGACGGGTTAAGCCCAGCAAGGAGGGAATTGTTTACATTTGCAACTTGGATTGCATGATATCACTTTGGAAGCCATACTCTGAAGCCAGCAGTTAAACTGTGACACTGAGTATATGTCCACATTTGCTGTTTATGGGACTTGGTCATAGTGCATGATCCTTTCTCATCTCAGATGAGTGACCGAGGAGGTGGTGTTCCTTTGAGGAAAATCGACAGACTCTTCAACTACATGTACTCAACTGCACCCCGGCCTCGTGTCGAGACGTCCCGAGCAGTGCCCCTGGTAGGTGATCAAGAAATAATGAAGTGTGTTTTTGTGAATTGCCAGAAAACACAAATCAGTTGCCAAATAAATCAGTTAAGCTGTTGTGGAGGGTACACCCCAAGGAAGAAGGGAGGCGCTTAGAAGAAAACACTTTCTCTAAATTTAAATGGTATTAAATTTTGGTTATTTTTTTTCTTTTGATTGAAGAGCAGAAGACAAAGAGTGTTGTGGTGGTCTCGTTGCCAGGCTTGATCGTGGTGTCAGTGGTTTTCATGGATATACTATTTCTAATGTGAAGACGAAATTAGCAGTTTTACTGGTATTTGGTCAACACTGATATAATTTTCAGTGTTGATTTCCCCCCCCCTCAAGTACTTATAATAGAAATATCTCATACTCTAGACTCAGAAAGAAGTAAGACTAGAGTTCTGGTCAATTTAATCACCAACCTGGAAATGATTCAAATTATAAACCGTTTTGCAGGTATTTTTTTTTCAACTTATTAGTTATCTGTTTTCAGGTTTAATAAGATTAGCTTCTGAATGGACTCCAGCCTTGTTCTCTGACCCTGAGAAAAGCACTTTGTCAAATCTCCGACCTGTAATTCTGGGAGAACTGTTGTTCGAGGCTTGGAATCTTCTCTGGCGTGTACGCTGGAGTCATGCTGTGATATGATGAAACACTGCGTAAGGCGGGTGGTTTCGACTCCAGAAGTTAACTAGAAGGACTTCATTAAAATAGTTTTACCTGTTACACAGCACACATTTTGTAGCTACAACTGTAATATGGTCATGTCTTACAAAACTTCCAAAATGATTAATATAGTAATGAGCTTCTCAAGTGGACCTTTGTGGTGCCGGGATAGGCATCCACATACCAAGGGGCAGAGGAGGTCAAATAATAAACATGAGCATCTTCTTAGAGTCTACTTTTACTCTAGAAGTAAGGGGAGAGCAGGGATAGACTGCTTTTTTAGTAAACAAATATTATAGAATTTTCTTGGAGAGCAGAATAGCATATTAATCCAGACTCTGGATCCAAACTATCTGGTTCTGTTCCTGACTTCACTACATTTTAGCTGTGTAGCTTTGGGAAAAGTATGGGCCTTTTAATACCCAGTTTCTCCAACTTTAAAAATCAAGTTATTGTAAGGGCTGAATTTAATATATGTAAAAATACCTTTTATAGTGCCTGGCACAAAGTCAGTGCCATATACGTGTCTGTTGTTTAGGATACAGAATTTGTGTGGATTTTTAAGAAAACAGGAGGCTTGGTATGGCACAGGCTCCCCAATGCGTATATACAGCCTTACGGAGGGGAAGACTTGCTGAGCTCTCCCAGAGCCTTCTTCCTGATGTCACGAACATTTGTAGTGGACCCGGGAGGCCAGCAGGGGGCAGCTGGGGAGAGGCTGCCGCCAGCCCCAGCAGTGGTCATCTGGTCTGCCTGGCGCCTGGAGCTGCCTCCATGTGGATGCCTGCTGGCGGGCATCTGCGTGGGGGGAATATCTTCACCCTGGAAGCCCACTGAGAGAGACCATCCACATTTCTCTCCTCCAGACCTTCTCATCAGCTATCCACTTCCGTTTTCTCCAAGTCCCTGACCAGCCAGCTAGGCTGTTTGCTATCTGTGAGTCCTGTAGGTGGTGACCTCACGTTCTGCCCAGGGGAAGATGGACTCCTGCCCTGAGAGAGGTGGTATGAAAGGGCAGTCCACTTCTGGCTGGTGCTGGCGTCCAGAGTAGGTCATCAGTGGGCCAAGCCCGTGTGGTTTTCTTCTCTTCCCCTGATCTCTAGGGGAAGCCCCACGAGCCCACAGGTGTGGTTGAGGGATTGGCAGTGATGAAGCAGATCAGGCCATGGCATCCTGAGCCACCTGCTTGTGCAGTGTCCTTGGGGCCCTTTCTGGAACTCTTTAATGTATCAGTCAAGGTCCCAACAGAAAAGGGAGCTCACTCAAATTATGACAATTAAGGAAGGCTTATTTACAAAGAGACAATCACAGAGCTGTGAGTGGGGCTAGACAGGAACCCAGGGCTAGCGGCAGTGAACTGTCAGCACTCAGAATCCAGGGCACAAGGAGAAGTTAGCAGACCCAGAAAAGGGGAAGGCTGCAGATCAGGGGCCCTATCTGCCCAAGGGAAGCAAACTGAGGCTGAAGGAAGCAGAGGGACTCGACTCCCTCTAAACTCCTACTGGGTTCCCCGTTGGCCAGACCCACTGGAGGCAGAGGGCATGGGAATCCATTGACATCATCCATTCAGGTCAGCCTCCCAGGGCAAGGAGAAGTATGGAGAACGGATGGTTGATTTGGAGGGTGAACAGACACTCTGGTTAGAAAACTCAAGTAATAAGTGGTGGGGATAGAGAAAGCCAGAGAAAACAAATATCCAGAGCCTGGATTTGTTAATAGCGCTTTGATTCCTGAATCCACATAAGCTCTTAACTAAAGTGGTATACAGAATGTCATTGAGCATTTCATTTGGTGAATAAAACAGTTTTTACATTTATCTAAATGTTTTGCTTTGTATCAAAGAATTGGTAGGATGTATCCAGGTAAAGAAGGTCATTCCAGTTACTGGGAATAGGGGGGACAAAGAGACAGGATTAAAAATAGCATTTGTTTGAAGAACTTGAGAGCAGGAGATTTAGTTTAGCCGGACTGGAAAGTGGGAAGCAGAGACTTGATCTTATCTGGCCATGAAAGCTCTTTTTAGAAGCTTGGATTTTTATTTCAAGCCAGTGGGTGGGGGATAGGGCTGTGCTTTGAAGATTTTTAAACAGGGAAGTGACTTGTAAGTGAGAATTAAGAAAGGGCTGTTATGGATCTCTCCAGGTTCACAACACAGGCTGGAAGTTCATGGCATGAAGTCATGAGGTATATCTGTAAGATTGCAACAAGGCTTTTCCTTTTTAATCCTCACTGGAAGATATTTTTTCCATTGATATTTTTAGAGAGAGTGGAAGGGAGGGAAGGAGCAAGGGAGGAGAAAAAGAGTGACAGAGAGAGAGAGAAACATCAATGTGAGAGACACACATTGATTGGTTGCCTCCTGCACCCATCTGACCAGGGTTGGGGATCGAACATGCAACCCAGGTACGTGCCCTTGCCTGGCACTTGAACCTGCTACCCTTTGGTCTGAGGGCTGATGCTCTCACCACTGAGCCACACTGACCAGGGTGCAGCAAGGCTTTTTCTACTCTTATTCCTAAAAGAGAGAACATGTTTTATTTGAAATTGCCCAAAGCACTATTGGGATACTCTAGAGCAGGCTAATGAAGAAAAGCCATATGCTTTTTCAGATCCCTGCAAGTCATTTTATAATAGAAGAATGAAGGCTTCTAAATGATCAGAGGGGAGTCATCTAATATAGTACTCAGCTAGGCTCCAGCTACATTTTTAGAAATACTTAGGTATTAACTGGTCTCTTAGATGCAAGCTCTGATAGCCCCGGGGTACTCAATAGCACTTATTTCAGTGTGTGGCGTTTTGAATAGAATTTCATTTTTTCTCACACAACAGGCTGGTTTTGGCTATGGACTGCCCATCTCCCGTCTTTATGCACAGTACTTCCAAGGAGACCTGAAGCTGTATTCCCTTGAGGGCTATGGGACAGATGCAGTGATCTACATTAAGGTAGTAACTGTAGTTTTCTTGAGTGAATGAGACTTCTTTTGATAAGAAGAAAAGATGTCAATATTTAACTGTAATGAAATTTTCCTCTATCTCATTCCAGTTAAATAGAAGTGTGTGTGTGTGTGTGTGTGTGTGTGTGTGTATATATATATATATATATATATATATATATATATATATATTGGCATAGGACCTCATCTTTTTTGACAAATGATCTCCTTGACTCGGGGAAAGAAATAGTCTTATCTGTAATGATCAGGACTATGGTTGTTAATAGAAGGAAAGTTAGGTTAAAGTGGGGAATCATGAAAAGTTTTATGTCTTACAAATTTAATTTTAACACGAAACACACGAATGGACATAGATCCACCAATCTTTTTTTTGTTTTGTTTTGTTAATCTTCACCCACGGATACTTTTCCATTGATTTTTTTTTTTCTTTTTTTTTTTTTTTTTATCCTCACCCAAGGACATTTTTCAGATAGAGTGGGAGGGAGAGAGAGGAAGAGAGAAAGAGAAACATCGACGGGAAAGGGACACATTGAGTGGTTGCCACCCGCACAACCCATCCGGGGCTGGGTACAAGCTGCAACCAAAGTACGTGCCCTTAGCAGACAACAAACCCAGGTATTTCCGGACCACAGGCCCACGCTCTAACTGCTGAGCAAAACCGGCCAGGGTGATTTTTTTTGGGGGGGAGGAGGGAGGGAAAGTGAGAGAGAAGGGGAGAAACATCTATGTGAGAGAGATACATAGATTGGTTGCCTCCCGTACAACCCCAATGGTGGCTGGGGATTGAACCTGCAACCCAGGTATGTGCCTTCGACCAGGAATCAAACCTGAGACCCTTTGATCCATGGGCTGATGCTGTAACCGCTGAGCCAAACCGGCCAGGGCACAAAAACCAAGTGCTTTTTTATTTGTATGCAGTCCTTCACAGATGTCTTCTTGTGGTTTGACAGCAATCCTTATGTGACTTTCCTTCATGAGATTTTCCAAAATATTCAACTTAGTTTTCAAAAAACCCTCCCCCTCTTTTTCAGTACTTTAAGTAATACTTGATTAAATTATGTATTTACAATGACAGGTGTAATTGCATAAACAGATTTGGGAACAAGCACAGGTGACTCTTGGTAAGCCTATAGCTCACCTGGTGGGAGCGGAAGCACTGAGCCTACTGGCCTCGGGTATTCCGTGTGTTTATGCCGAGACTGGTATATTTTACAGTGAGGGAGAGCCCTGGGCCCCATCAGTCCACTCCCTGGATTGGTGGCTAAACTGATCCAACTTAATTTTTTAGTGACGCTAGTTTCTTGTTATGGCCACTAGATGGCACCTATTTTACAGGAAATGCTGAAGACCTGACATTGGGAAAAATACATTTATCTGAAAAGGTTAAATTCTTTTAAGATCATAATTCTTTCTCTTTTCCTTTTTTCTTTTTAACCATTTCAATTGTAAGGAACTTGAAAAGGGCAACATGAAGGCAATGTTTTTATCACTAAATGTAACATCTTTGATCCCGTCTGTGGCTCAGTGGTGCCGGCAGTTCTGGCATATTTAAAGAGAATATATAGGTGAAAGCTTTTTAGTTCCATTTTGGAAAAAAATAGATGACAGGAGTCTCATAGAGTCATTAAAGTGGTCAACATCAAATACCTTCCTTAGTATTATCAGAATGAAATTTATGGTTCAATATTTTCTGTGTTTTGGAGAATGACAATGGCTAAAGTTTGAAATTCTATTGAAATGTCCCAACTTGAAGAAGATAATGAGGAACATAGTTTGTTTCAATTTCCAATGACTTACAAGAAAGTGAAATAGAACAGTGAATTAATGGTAGTGCATGTTGGAAACATGAAATTATGCATGATGCAGAGACACACATGTTGTAACTGAAATTATGGCTTTAATGGCAGGAGGGAAAGACACAGGAGCAAACCCAGGGCCAGTAATGGTTCATGCAGAAGCCAAGATGCCTTAGGCATAGTTTTATATTTATTAATAATAATAGTATATTGAAATTTTAAAAGTTCAATGACTGTACTGAAAAATAGTATTTATTCTAACAAATAATTAAAATAGAGTTCATGAAATGATTGTATCATTACATATATTAAAGTACATATGTTAATTTTTGTGCTTTTTTACTTACATGACTTTTTAAATTAACCAACTTCTGTTTGGGTCATGCTTTGTAAGAGGCATCTATCACACTTGTATAAAATGTCAGTCCAGGTTTCTGGGCTGGAGAATTACTGTGGGCAGCACACACACCAGGCAGCCCTGCAGACTTACCAATAGCATGTTTCAAATATGTACACTATTTAAAAATTTATGGAGACGGTGTTGTGATTAATAAAATACAAAGCCAATAAAGTATTATTTAATTTGTAGTAACCTTTTGTCACTGTATGTTTTCTTACATAATGGATTCTAAAAACATGCCAGACTTAGGTCCTGCTTTTCTTTCAGGCTCTGTCAACAGAATCCATAGAAAGACTCCCCGTGTATAACAAAGCTGCCTGGAAGCATTACAAAGCCAACCATGAGGCCGATGACTGGTGTGTCCCCAGCAGAGAACCAAAAGACATGACAACGTTCCGCAGTGCCTAGATACACTTGGGATCCCTAGGAAATCCAAATGTGGCTTTTGTATTAAATTTGGGAGGGATGGTGTTCAGAACTACATTATACCAAATACTTCATGTCCTTTTCACAGCTATTTGGGTAGAATAGGTGGAAACTGAATTCCATTTATGCCTGTTAAATCTCCTAAAGGATGAAATTGTACCTATTTGACACTTATATTTTCACAGTTAATCAAACATATTTTTAAACAATCATAGTTTTGGTCAACTTTCCCCTTTACGATAGACTCCAGAAGAGTGTAAATCTTGGGGTTTTTACAGGAAGCTGAATGGTTTTGTAAAATACATTTTTCACTTGTGTTTGTAGGAAACATTTTCTTAATAATACTGATTAGCCATTAACCATTGTAGTGTTATCTGGAGGAGTTCTGCTGTCCTTTATTTAGTAGTGGAAACTGTAGTAAGGTGGTCTTCATGCTTTCCAGTGACTAACTACACGTAAAGCAGTTGTCCTGTTAGTGTAGAACCAGCCACCTTCAAGCTTCTACATGCATTATCTTAGCTCTGAAGTTAACTTATCATTTTAAATCTTATTGCAAAGGATTATAATGACTAGTTCCCTACAGATCTAAGCCTAGATCATGGGCAGCCTACTTTGAATGTGCTTGTGATTAGCTCAAGGAGAAATTTCTATACTAAAAACAAACTAGCAGCTGCTAACATAGAGAAGAAATTGTGGGCAAAGCGGTCAAACTATCAATTGTTGAGATTACATGGGGGAGCTTTAGAGAAAGAGTTTTTCTGGGTCCTGCTCTAGGCATGGATTAGACTCTTAAAATGCTTGGTAGGTGAGTCTGAGGCATCACCTACTTAGGGAACCATTCTGTTAGAGTGAGCAGTGATGATACCACATTTACTAAAGTAAGCGATCTTTAGGTTTTGGTTTTCACCTACCTAGGAGAGACAGACTGAATCTCAAGCCTGGTGCAATTAGAAGTATTATTTGAGCAGGAGACATAACTACTGGAGAACAGCAGGTAACAGAAGGATCAGAACCATAAATGCACGTCTTGACAAAAGAACATATATTTGATAAGAAATATCTAGACTTTGTTATCAGGAAAAAGTCAGTTGGGGCTTATCACAGCAATCCTTTGCATTCGTATGGTAATTTGTAGTCTACAGATACTCTGGTGTATCAGGTAACAGATACAGAGCAGGTGCTGTCAGCCTGGTGTTGAGACTCAAGGTGCCGAGGATTGGAGCCGGGCCCAAGCTGTCTGCTGGTCATCCCCGGCACCGGATCTGGGGGACCAGGAATTGAGGAGACAGTTTAGTCAAACCTCGTCTTCTTTTACGGTGACAGGGAAATACATTGAAAATGAATTTTAAAGTAAGATTTTAAATGCTTAAAGAGCAGCTTTACTACTGAAATGGGGGAACTTTATCTGGAAAATACATTGAGTTGAAACACCTCATTCTCAAAAGGATTAGTAAACTGAATAATTCTATATAAATTTGCCACGGGGGCGGGGGGTGGAGGAGGAGGGATGTTGAAGGGCATTTCGTCTGGAACCCGGATTGGAGAGGATGGTCCAGGGGTGTGTTTTGCCCGGGCCTTCTTCGCCAATCTGGGCATATGTTGGAAAAAAAGATCTTTTGCCTTTATTATGGATTTTGTGGTAAACAATAGAATATGCTAATAGATGATTTTATTAGCTCAACGTGTTACAAGTGTTTAGCTTTAAATTATACTTTCTGCTCCGGGGGCTGGTGGTGGTGTGGCAGGGCCTGCTCCCGGCCGGTCCGGCTGCGACCCCACCACACCCGGCACTGGGGGCTCTCTCCGGCCCTTGGACCTGGGCCCCGCCCCGGCCTTGGGAGGCGCCTCCCTGGGGCTCCCTCGCCGGCTCGCTGCTCCCCTCCAGGCTGCACGGAACCCTCCGCCAGAGTCTTGGGGGGAGCGAAGGAGTAGTCCGGAGCCCCACCTACCAACCCACCATCGCCCCCAGGGCCCCAGAGGAAAAAATGACGCTTGTAATGATAAAATATTTTAGAATCTTTGAATCAAAGTATCCACTTTCTTCCCTAAACAAGACATTTGTATAACTGACATAAACTTAATGTTTTTACCTATGCAAGACTCTTGCCCCCAATTTAAACCCAAATTTAAAGTTTTCCCTCTTTAAGAGGTAAGAAATCGTGTTTGAAAGGAAAAATGAAATCTTTTCCTTTAATTTCTTTTTAAAGTATAGTGGTTCTTTATTTTGTTATTGTGGTAATGGACAAACAATTACATAACAAAAATATTGGGGCGGGGCAGATTTTTTCTAGTTGGTTTTAAATCAAAACCTGAAATGTCTTTAGATTTTTTTTTACAATCTTTTGCCCACCGGCATTTAATTCGTGATACTATGTAGATATAAAAATATGCTGAAGGATAAGAATTGATACTAAGTGGTTTTTATAACTTGGGCATTTAATGAATGTGCCAACATTTTTAAGGAAGAATCACAAAAATATTCTGCGCTATACTTAAAATACTGGCTAGCGTTAGATATCTTCTACTCAATAACAATCACTTTTCTTGCACTGTGAAGATGTTGAAGTGGAATTTACCATGTTATTTTATTAAATGTGTGAATGGCAATAAACTGAAAACATGGATCAACTCTTATTTTGAAAATTAAGTTGGGACAATTTAGGTTTTGAAAATATAAGCATGTCTTTTATTTTTTTATTTTATTTATTTTTTTATCCTCAAGGACTTTTTTTTTTTGATATTTTGTTCAGATAGATTGGGAGGGGAAGAGAGAGAGAGAGAGAGAGAGAGAGAGAGAGAGAGAGAGAGAGAAACATCGATGTGAAAGGAACACATAGAGTGGTTGCCATCCACACAACCCAACCAGGGCCAGGGACAAACTGCAACCGAGGTTCGTGCCCTTAGTGGGAACCAAACCTGGGTTTCTCCAGACCACAGACCAACGCTCTAACCGCTGAACCAAACTGGCCAGGGCTAATCATGTCTTTTAAATAAAAGTTTTGCATCATCAAGGTCCAACATTCTGTAAACATTAAAAAAGTTGTAGCTAGTTGGCTGGCATGAAATCTCACTATCTTCAGTTGAGGAAGTGTTTGGAACTTAGATTTCCAGTGTGTATTATTCTAATGGAGAAAGCCAAAGGGAGAGTTGGTACGATTTCAGTTATCCTAGATTTTCATTATCTGAACATACACAGATGACTAATTGCATGAATGAAGACTTTTTGTGTGATCTTTGAAAGGTTATGTTTAAATGCTCTTTGAATAACTTTTCACGATATGAGTAATTAGAGAAAAGGTCTAAATGTAATGAGCAATTACCCCTCTGCTTGGACCAGCTGAAAGTCAGATCTAACTCCTTTAGTCAAAAATAGATTTCTGCCCTGGCCAGTTTGGCTCAGCAGTTAGAGCGTCGGCCTGTGGTCCGGAGACCTGGGTTTGGTTCCCGCTAGGGGCATGTACCTCGGTTGCAGTTTGTCCCCGGCCCTGGTTGGGTCGTGCGGGTGGCGACTGCTCGATGTGTCCCTTTCATGTAGATGTTTTTTTCTCTCTCTCCTTCCCGCTCTGTCTGAACAAAGAATGGAAAAATGTCCTCCAGTGAGGATAAAAAAAAAGATTTCTATCCTATTTCTGATTGATGGGGTAGGACCACAACGTCCCTTCATTGTTAGAGCCAACAAGTTCCATAACAGAACATCACAGAGAAAGAACTGGGGACACAAACTCTTAGTGTTATGGCTTGTGAAGGGCTAATCAGAGAGGAAGCCAGAAATCAGTCACCCAATTTCAGTTTATGTCTTCAATTGCTGTGACATGAATGTGACATTTTAACGGAAGAGTAATCAGAATTGAGAGAGCTCATTTGCAAACAAAGCTTTTGCTGGAGGAATTTTTGATCATATATGATTTACTTCTGGCCAGAGTAATTAACCCTCTTACAGTATAGCCCAATGCACTTGAAAAAAGACTATAATATGGTGTGAAGGATTTTATGTATGTCAACAAAGAATGCATCACTGGTTTGTTTATTTCTGTCATTTTTAAACTGCACCTTTTATTCCATTTACATGTTTGGAAAAATTTATACACTATACTGCCCCCTTTTTTCTAGAATTCGCACATTTTTTTAACAGTAGGCTTTTAACAGTAAAAGACAAGATTGCTGGATTTTGCTACAAGACTTCCGTCTTTTTTTTTTTTTTTTTCTGTTCTTAGAAAAGTGGTTATTTATGTTGAGGAATAGGACAGCTATGTTTTACTTGCTTAAATTAGAGATTTTTTAAACAAAAATATACAATTTTTATTCTGGTAAGATCAAACTTCCATTTGAGTGTTGTCTTCAACACTGAGTTATTTTCTGAAAGTTTAGAAGTATAATTCCTATAGTTGTCACATAGACTATTGTCAGAAATTTGGTAGTTTTGAGTTGAAATGTTGGCATCTGTTTATAATAAATTCAAAATGGTGAAAAATTCCTTTAGGAAACAGTTTATGACAGGGCATTTTAAAATTCAATTCAATATTGCCCTAGCTGGTTTGGCTCAGCGGTTAGAGCGTTGGCCCGCAGACCAGAGACACCTGGGTTCGGTTCCTGCTAAGGGCATGTACCTCGGTTGCAGTTTGTCCCTGGCCCCGGTTGGGGTTGTGTGGGCGGCACCACTCAATGTGTTTCTCTCACATTGATGTTTCTCTCTCTCTCTCTTCCTCCCTGAAGATAAATGCAAAAGTGTTCTCGGGTGAGGATTAAAAAAAAAAAAAAAATTTCAACTCAATATTAAAAGCCAAATACTTTCGCCATGGTTTTATACTTAGATGTCTTCCATGATGGGATTCAAACACTGCGACTAAAAAGACAAAAAGATAAGCAGCACACTCAGGTGGCTTCTCTAGGTCACAGAATTACATTTCTTTTTCCCCGTATTATTTAAGAGTCACTCAGTCGATTGGATTCCATTTTTAGTTAGAAAACGTGGAGGCTCATAGATAATGGACATTTTCATAAGTCACATTAAATGGTATCATTTTGAATTTCTATAATGAAAAACACGTCAGTCCCAAATCATGGAAGGTTATTCTGACTTAAAAAATAGGCAAAACTAAACTTTTTTTTTTTTTTGCTTCAGACCTACATTTTCTACAGGGATAAAGTTTTCGAGGTAGCGCACTAACTGCACTTTTAATTTCCAGGCAGCAGGTAGCAGCACTTGCTTTCAAATCAAAGAGAAAGTTGCAGAGGTGTTCTGTGTACTGCTGTGACAAGAACACTCAGAGCTTCCAGAAAATGATTCTCAAGTGAAAACAACACAGTCAAATGGAAGATTCTTTGTTTTTTTCTGAGAAGGGGGAACATTGTGGTACTATGGTTAAGAACAAGGTATAAAACACAGCTTTTACTACTCTTCATTTTAAATGGCTGGCCCCTTTCCTGTTAAGTGTCATATTAAACACAATCCGAAATTTTATTTACTATGAAGGAAATAAGATTTTATGTTTTTCTCTAACTTTCCTCAGAAGCATTCTAAGAGAAGTGACTTTGATTTAGGGCGGTTTGCAGTGTTACTGCTTCAGGCACTGAGCTCCCACCGCCCTCTGGGAAATAAAGATCACACTGAAGACATTCTTCCAAACAACCCAGACTTAAAGGGAAACATTCCTCCATACCAAGCTTTATAAAATGGCTACATGCGTTTTCTTAAATGCTCATCATCAGAAGGCGTGATTTATCCTGCCTTTTCTATTCGCAATATTGTTCCAAAAGTGACCTGAATTACCTGTTCCACAAACATACCGGGCCCTGTGCTCCACCTGTAGTTTCCTGGCGATGAGTACAAGTTGCCATCAGCATTCACTTTCAGTTCGTCACTTTCTAGCTGAGTCATCTCATGTCCCTCTATATCCTTGCTGTGAATTCTGTAATATATTAGTCCAGGTTTATGTCTATTCAATGGTGGCTCTTATTGATTCATCTTCTCTGCAACGGGTAACTGTCACTGATTAGTTGTCCCTCTTGTTCTATAGTTATCACTTGATAGATTGGTGTCCAGTGTGTTTAAGCATCTCAACCCCACCCCCGATGGCCCCGCAGAACCCTGAGCCCCAGCCACAGGTGCTCCTCGTCACACCTAGGTTTTTGTAACGTATCTTCTTCCCCTTGTTCTGCAGCCCTGGATGGGAATGAGAAATTATTTTCTTTCAATTATTAACCTTTGGGTTACTTCACAATTGCCTTTTTGCTCTTTTCGTTTTCTACCATTTGTATAATTAATTCCCTGCACTAAATCTCCTATTTGAAATGCTTACTTTGTGTCGTCCCTATTTTCCCTGATCAGTATAGCTGTAAACATAAAAAACACATATCTTAAGTATTATTTCAATACTTTATTGAGGAAGGTTTTTACTTTCTAGAGTCCATGTATGATTTCAAGCAAAACACTTGTTAGGATCTTGGGGTTTTGGTAGCATAAAAATTGAATCGTTTATTTTTAATCTGAAAATTAAACCTATAAAATCAGAGATTTAGGGTGGAAGAAAAAAGCAAACCCTTCAACACTGCATTCAGCAAAGGTTTAGATTCATGATTAACAATAGTTAAATCTCGAGTATAAGATACTTTATAAGCTTCTCAAATTACTAGTAAGATCTTCATATTATATGTGACCCTCATTGAATGTTCTATTTCTCTTCAAAACAGCCAGGAGGAAAACCATAAAACACTCAAACTCAACCAGAATGAACTAGATAATCTGATTAGTCATTTAAAGAAACTGTTTAATCAAATTTGTAGTTTAAAAGCTTTCATAAAGAATCTCCAGGCACAGATGGTTTTACTGAAAATGTCTACCAAAAATTTTAGGAAATTAATGCTAGTTTTACATAATCTCTTCCAGAAAATAGGAGATGAAGGGACACTTCCCAATTTATTTTATAAGACCAGTATTGCTCTGATACCAAAACCAGACAAAAGAGTACAAAAACAAAACTGGAGGCCAATATCTCTCAAGAATCCAGTTGCAAAATCTCAATATTAAACATAATCTGACAATATATAAAAAGAAGTGTATGCTATGCAAAATGAAAGTTATTTCATATATGAAAGGCTTATTCAACATTTAAATATCAATCGATGTAATCTACCATATAAACAGGCTAATGAAGAAAAATCCTATGACAGTATCAGTTGGCACAGGAAAAGCATTTGACAAAATCCAACCCCATTAATTATAGCCAGGGGTCCCTACTTTGGGATCTGATAGTGTTGACTCCAATCTCAGGCAACTTTTCCCATTCTTGACACTCCCCTATATAAGAATAATGCTTCTCTTACTTAATTTTGTAAAGGAGTCAGATTTTAAAAGAAATACATGTATGGGAATGGTACAACAAACAGATTTATTGTATTTTTAAAATATGTTTTCATTGACTTTTTTAGAGAGAGAGGAAGGGGGAGAGAGAGATGGAAACATCGATGTGAGAGAGAAACATTGATCAGCTGCTTCCTGCAAGCCTACTGGGGATCGCGTGGAAACCTATGCATGTACCTTGACTGGGAATCGAACCGGGACCTCTCAGTCTATGGGATGATGCTCAATCCACTGAGCCACACCAGTGGGGCCAGATTTACTGTATTATAACTTTTCAACC